TGTTCCCATCCCCCAATTCCCCAATTAAAAAAAAATAAATGAAAATAAATAAAATAAAATGCAAATACACTTATGACACTTCCCTGCTTAAAACCCTGCAATGACTTTCTGCTTCTTTCAGAAAAAAATCCTCCCCATAGCATATAAGGCCCTTCACGATTCAGCCCTCACCTGACTCTTGTTTCATCACTCCCCATCACAAACATCCCTCTACACACACGTTTTCACTCATTGCTGCCTTCATCTCAAACAACTTGCAGCATCTCTTACTCATAACTCCCATTCATTCTCAACATTCAGCTTCAATGCAATCTCTTCCAAGAAGCTTTCCTGATGGCTCTCTGCCTTGTATGACATAGGTATCCTTCCTAGTGCCTTGTACTTAGCCATATCACATTACTTCTTACATTATATGATTAATTTGTCTGCTTTTTCAGTAGATTGTGAACTCCTTGAAAGTAGGGGCTCTTGAATGAGTTAATGGATTTTAAAAATTATTTTTAATTTTCGATTTGCAGTTGACATACAATATTATATTAGTTTCAAGTGTACAACAGTGACTAGACATTTATATAACTTACAAAGTGATCACCCCATTAAATCTAGTACCCATCTGACACCATACACAGTTATTAAAATATTGACTATATTCCTTACACTATACTTTACATCCCCATGACTATTTTGTACATTTTAATCCAGTCACCTTTTTCACCCACCCTTCCAAACACACTCCCATCTGGCACCCTGAAAACGTTCTCTGAATCTATGAGTTTGTTTCTGTTTCATTTGTTTTGTTCTTTAGATACCACATATAAGTGAAATCATACGGCATTTGTTTTTCTGTCTTACTCCACTCAGCATAATACTTTCTAGGTCCATCCATGTTGTTGCAGATGGCAAGATTTCATTCCTTTTACATGGCTGAGTAATAATATACCATTGTATACATGTACCACCTTATCTTTATCCATTCATCCATTGATGGACACCCAAGCTTCCTCCATATCTTGGTTATTATAAATAACACTGCAGTGAACATAGGGATGCACATGTCCCCTTGAAGTAGCATTTGGGTTCCTTCGACTAAATACCGAGAAGTGAGATTACTGGGTCCTTTTTTGTCTCCTGTCTGCCTTTGTTATAAGGTCTATTTGGTCAGGTATAAGTATTGCTACCTTAGTTTTTTTGTTTTGTTTTCATTTTCATGAAATATTTTTTTCCATCCACTTACTTTCAGTCTTTGTGTATCTTTCTATCTGAAGAGAGTCTCTTGTATGCAGCATATGTAAGGGTTTTGTTTTCTGATCCATTCAGCCACCCTAACTTTTGATTGGAGCATTTAATCCATTTACATTTAAAGTTATTGTTGATAGATATGTACTTATTGCCATGTTATTGTGCACATTTTTTATCCTTTAAAAAATTTTTTTCTTCTTCTTAAAGAAGTCCCTCTATTATTTCTTGTAATACTGTTTTGGTGGTAAAGAACTCTTTTAATGTTTTCTTGTGTGGGAAGCTCATTATCTGACCTTCAATTCTAAATGATACCTTTGCTGGATAGAGTAATCTTGGTTGTAGGTCTTTGCTTTTCATCACTTTGAATATTTTGTGCCAATTCCTTCTGGCCTGCAAAGTTTCTGCTGAGAAATCAGCTGACAGTCTGATTTCTGGGAGTTCCCTTGTAGGAAACTAACTGCTTTTTCTCTTGCTTTTAATTTTCTCTCTATGTCTTTAACCTTTGGCATTTTAATTATAATGTGTCTTGGTGTGAGCCTCTTTGGGTTCATCTTGTTTAGGACTTGCTGCACTTCCTGGACTTGTACATGTATTTCTTTTCCCAGGTTAGGGAAGTTTTCTGCCATTATTTTTTCAAATAGTTTTTCAATCCTTTGCTCTTTCTCCTTCTTCTGGTACCCCTGTGATGCAAATGTTGATACACTTCATACTGTCCCAGAGGCCCCTTAAACTATCTTCATTTTTTAAATTCTTTTTGCTGTTCTGGTTGGGTGTTTTCTACTACCTTATCTTCTAAATCGCTGATTTGATCCTCTGCTTAAACTAATCTACTATTTATTCCCTGTAATGTATTCTTCACTTCTGTTATTGTATGCTTTATTTCTGACTGGTTCTTTTTTATGTCTTCTATCTCTATTTTTATGTTTCCTATCTCTTTGTTGACATTCTCCCTGAGAACACGGAGCATCCTTCTAACCAGTGTTTTGAACTCTGTGTCTGTTAGACTGCCTGTCTCCATTTTATTTAGATCTTTTTCTGAAACTTTGTTCTGTTCTTTCATTTGGGACATGCTTCTCAGTCTCCCCATTTTGGCTGCCTCCCTGTGTTTCTATGTATTTGGTAGGTCTGCTAAGTCTTCTGGTCTTGGTAGACCAGATGGTCTTGGCCATATGTAGTAGGTGTCCTGTGGGGCCCAGTAGTGCAGTCTCCCTGGTCACATTAGCCAGGTGCTCCAGAAGTGTCCCTTGTGTGAATGTGTGTGCTCTCCTGTTGTAGTTGAGCCTTGGTTGCTGTTTGCACATAAATTTGAGGGACTGACTCTCAGGCTGATTGGTTGTAAGAACTGGCTTTGACAACAGTGGAAGAGCTATGATGCAGGGGTTGACCCTATGGAGCAGGATTTGCTTTAGTGGGGCTCTGGTGCCTGCACAGTTTGCCTTTTGGGTGTGTCCTCTGTGGAGGTGGCTGGGTGGTGCTCCAGCTCGGTCCAAAGCTGGCCACCAGGCATGCCAGGTCCAGGGCATCCTGGGAGGTGCACCACCACAGGCCAACTTCAGCCACAGCCTGTGACCTGCCTAAAGCCACCTGGCATGAGACACAAAGCAATCCACAGATGGCCACCACCCAAACTAGGTTTGAAGGTGCCTAGGAGAGGCAAGCTGAGAACCAAGGTCAGCTGCCACTAGTGCCAGGCTTGGGGCTGTTCAGCAAGAAGTACAGGGCATGCTGAGGCCAGATGCTTTTTGTCTGGGGTTTGTGAACCTTTGAGAGATTTTAGGAAAGTCTGAAGCATGAGCCAAGATAGGCTGATTGTATGGAAAAGCCACTGAAAAGTGGCGCTGGGTGGGGTGGGTCTCAGGGAATCACCAGGGCTGAGCAACTGGTGTTAGCCAGATCGATGGAGATTCAGATATGGTGGCCACCTGAGTCTACACACTGAGGCGGTGAGGGGTCAACAAAGAACAATGGATTCTACCAGCACTTCTCTCTGGGAGAAAGCTGCCCCTCCAGCCCTTGCCCTGGAGCCAGACAATTCAGTTCCTTCCCATATGACCCTGGTAACTTTCAAGCTGCTGCACCAGCACTGGAGCTCAAAGAGCACGAGTCCAGGGCTGGACGAGTGGCGCATTGGTTAGGAGCTGGCTTGGGACGCTGGCTCTGAGCGGCAGGGCCCCGGTTCGGATCCCACATGAGGACCAGGGATGCTGTGCCCTCTACAGCTGGGATGGTGGGCAGCGGCTCGGCCTGGAGCTGGGCTGCCTGGAGTCGCAGGCAACAGCGTAGGCTACAGCCCCTGCTGCAGTGGGCTGCCGTGAGCTACCGTGAGTGGCCAGCAGCCGTGTGAGCTGCCAAGAGCTGCCGTGAGCGGCCATCCAGAGGCCGGCGACCTATCTGCCTCGCCCGGGAAGAGCGCAATGATAGTGCCAGCGTGGGCCAGTGAAGCAACGTCCTCCACAACTAGACTGAAGAACAAAAAGGACAGGGCCGGCTGAGTGGTGCATTGGTTAAGAGCTGGCTAAGGGCACCAGCTCTGAGCAGCAGGGCCCCAGTTCGGATCCCACATGAGGGCCAGTGACACTGCGCCCTCTACAGCTGACACGGTGAACGGCAGTACGACCTGGAGCTGGGCTGCCGTAAATCGCCGGCAACGGTGTGGGCTGCAGCCCCTGCTGCAGTGGGTTGCCATGGGCTACC